CTAGGACATTGTGGGATCAGAGGAGGTGTTGGTGGAGCCAGAGTTGCCCCATGGACCCAGGGCATTGTGGCATTGCAGTTGGTCAACTGGCCTGAAGGCATTCTGGGGTTGGTTGGGTGTAGGACTGGGAGGTGCCCTTCCACTCTGGGATGTCACAGGATTTTGGGGGTAGGACAGGGAGGCTCCTACCTGGAGATGTCCCATGGCATTATGGGTTTGGTGTTGCCCAGGAGGAGGGGATATTCCCATGCAAGGGAACCATGTGGCCCCAAAGCATTATGGGATTGGCTGGCTGTAGGTGGGTGGTTGCCTTCAGCAGTGCCAGCATCACCTCATGGTGTTGTAAGTAACGGGTGGTCTCTTGCCCCTTTACCTCTCGAACCCAGGTATCAGCCTATGGATGACTCCTGGGAGCGCCTGGCCAGCATGACCTGTGGGCGCAGCTACTTTGCCGCTGTGGCACTTGGGGATTTCATCTATGCCCTGGGGGGCAGCTCGGGGGATCTCTACTGCACAGACACTGTGGAGTGCTATGACCTGGCCAACGACACCTGGAGGTGAGACCCCTTCACGTGGACACCTGCTTTCCTCTGCCCTGGCAGCTGCCTCGCACTGGGCAATGGTGTCCATTGAGTGGCCTTTGGGTCACTGAGCCTCTGGTGGGCCTACAGTGACCTTTGGGAGACGTCTACTGGGTGTTGCGCAACCATGTCCCTTGGAGGTCTTTGGGTGTTGGCCAGTGGTGCCTGTTGGGTGGTGAGTGAGTTTTTTGGCTAAGAGTATTCACTGAGGGTCTGTTGACTGGCTGCCAATGAGATGAATCATTTAAACATCTTCCAGCTCTGTTCATTTTGTGCTCTGTTGCGTGTAGGCCAATATTGTCCATTAGGGAGTCCATTGTGGGTTGACCAGTGGTGTCTTTTGGGGTCTACAAAGTGTTGAAAAGTGATGCCCTTGGGCATCCATCATGTGTTAGCTGATGCTGCCCACTGGGGCTTATTTGGTGTTGGCCAGCACTGACTGCTGAGTGATCAGTGGAGCCATGGCTCACTGGGGAGCTCCTAGGCAAGCAGTCGTCGTGGGGCAGCCATCCTTAACCTGCCCCTCACTCCCTCACTCTCTCCTTGCCCAGGTGGTGCCAGCCCCTGCCGATGGCTCTGTGCGGCCACGCGGCGTGTGCCCTGGATGGTGCCCTCTACGTGTCAGGAGGGTGTGATGAGGCATCCCAGTGCCAGGCAGCCATGCTGCGCTACATCCCGGGTGCACCCGCCACGGTCCTGGCCCCCATGAATGGCCAGCGAGCTGGGCACATCATGGAGGAGGCAGGTGGGCAGCTCTATGTGGCTGGAGGGCTCTGCCAGCGGGATGGGCAGACTGGCTACAGGGACCAGCTGGCCTTTGAGGTCTACAGCCCCAAGCTGGACATCTGGGTCCTCCTTAGCCCCCTGCCCCATGCCCATGTAGTTGGGGGTGCAGCTGTGCTTGGGGGGGAACTGCTGGTATTGGGAGGGTACAGTCATGAGACCTACCGGGACACCCACTTGATCCATGCCTACCAGCCAGGTTCCCGGCGCTGGATCACCCGGGGCACCTTGCCCCATGCCTATACTGACTTGAAGGCTTGTGTCCTCACTGTACCCCCTGCCTTGCGTGGCCCCAACTGCCTTGAGGACCCCTCAAGATCACCTGATACCCCCAGTAATACTTAGAGGGGTCTTAAAAGCTCTGCACCCCATACTGAGATGCCCACGTAGCATCTGTGGGCACCTCTATGGGACAAAATCACCCCACATCCCTTTCCTAGACTGGGTTCCTCCTGTGGTTTCCAGCAACCCCTCACCCCCAGGGTACATGGCCTAGACTGTGGGGACCCTGTGGGACGCAAGGACTCCCCAAGCTGCACCCCTGTGTCTCCAGGAATACTTGTTCCCTTGCCCTGGCCCCTTCACCGTGAGCTGAGGACCCCCCAATTTCCCTTACACTTGGGCTGAATAAAAGTGGCTCCTGAACTTCCCATCTGGGTCTTGTTGTTTATTCTGGGGAACTCAGACATCCAGGTGCTTCTCACAGGGACCAGGAGGAGAGCAGGAGCCAGACAGTCTGAGGATCCTGGAAGGAGGTGGTGGGTACCAGGATTGCCTGGGTTCCTGGGTCCCCTGGGGAGCACTGGGGAGCTGAGTGCTTGCATTCATTGGGCATGGAGGAGGGTGCTCGTGTGTCAGGATTGAGAAGCATCTTGGGGTGCATGGGGGATCCTGAGGGCATAAGAGAGTCCTGGCGGTGCCTGGGTTTTGGGGTAGATGGGGGCACTGGGGCAGTACTGGGGGCTTTGGGGTTCCTGGGTGGTTCTGGGAGGTCTTGTCTTCCTGCAGTGACCAGGAGTGCTGTTTGTGTAGAGAGGTGGGAGAATCCTAGGGAGGAGTTTCAAAGAGAAGGGGAGATAATGGGGATTCTGGGTAACACTGGGGTGCCCATGGTACCTTTGTGAAGGGAACTGAGAGTTCTGGGATGTGTAGAGGAGGGTTGCAGGCTCATGGCTCTCTAAATCAGTATTTTAGATGTGATCTAATGGGCACTGAGCAGAGAGAAGTAATCACCTCCCTTGCTCTACTGGCCATGCTCGTCTTAACCCAGCCCAGGCTCCTGTTGCTCTTTCTGTGCTGCCAGGGTACACTGCTGGATCTTGTTCACCTTTCTGTTGAACAAGGCACACAGGTCCTTTTCCATAGCAGTGCTGCAAAGTCAGACTGTCCCTCACTGGCACTGGTGTGGTTTTCCTTCCAAAGTACAAGGCTTTGCATTTATCCTTGTTGACTTTCATCAGGCTTCTGTCAACCCATGGTACTCCCTGAATGATACCTGTCATGGTTTAGGGCTGGGCTGGCCACTAACTCCTGGACAGACGCTCTCTGTTAACCTCTCTCCCCACCCCAGAAGGGCAGAGAAAAGAGAATAAGGGCGTGAATGATCCCGGTCAGGTTTTGGGGCGGGGCTGGCCACTAACTCCTGGACAGACGCTCTCTGTTAACCTCTCTCCCCACCCCAGAAGGGCAGAGAAAAGAGAATAAGGGAGAGAGACTTTATGGGTTGGAAAATAAAACGAACAGGTTTGATAAAACAATAATACTAGTACTACAGGATAATAATGTAAATAGGAAAATAATGAAATATATACAGATGAGTACACATATATATACAAAACCAATATAAAAGCCTCCCCCCCCCCTCCCCCAATGACGTATACATCACCAGAGGCTCTGCAGAGCTGGGCACTGGAAAAGTCCCAGACTGAACTTGGCAGCACATGGGAGCAGGGTGCAGGAACACAGGGATCAGGATCAGAGGCAGAAGAACCAGCAGGGTTCTGCTCGGACTTCAGCCATTGCAGAATCAAGACAGAAGGAAGGGTCCGAGATGGACAGAAGGATCCAAGATGGAAGAAGGGTCAAGACCCTCGTGGTCCCTCGGCTTTATACTGAGTATGACCTATGTGGGATGGAATATCTAGTTGGTCAGTTTTGGGTCTACTTCCCCCCCCTCCCTGGTAGGTGCAGAAACGGCACCTATTGTGAGACACTTGGCCTTGAGATTATCACTTGTAGCAGCACATACTGGAAAAACATGCTGCTAGTTTCAGCAAGTTCAGCCACTTAGAAGGGACTGAGCTGAAAAGTAAGGTCACTAAATGGAAAAATAAGTTCTATTTAGCTCAAACCAGGACAGTACCATATGGTAGCATATTCCCTGTTGGAAGCATATGATCTGATCCCTCCCAGCTGGTGTCATCTGCCAGCACGTTGATCGTCACACTCAGCACACTCAGTCACCTCCTCTATGTCATTAATAAAGACATTAATCAGGAGAGTTCCCAGCACAGCCCTGTGTGGTGCTCCACAAGTGAAGTATGCTCTGTTAACCACCTGGTCCTGACCTTCACACCACTTTATACCTGTCCAATTCTCCAGCCATTCAGAGCTTGGCGGCCCAACTTGAATGCCATGGCCCTGTGGGAGAAGTGTCAAAAGGAAGTCAAAGCTGCTGGAGAGGCGAGAGCTGGTGCATGCTGCCCCACCACAGAGCCTACACACAAGAATGTGAGAAACAGCACCGTTACAAAACAAGAAAAGGCATCCTTAATCACCAACATTGCTCTATAAGACCAGAACGGGCTGAAAAATATCCCAAGAGGTAGCAAAAGGGGGGGGAGGGAAATAACTGTAAAGAAACAGTTCAAACTGAAGAAATAGGGCTCTCTGGGTGTCACTGGGACCTCCCCAAGACCATCCATGTGTCCCTTGGATGCTCTGAGGGTATTCAAAGTCTCTTGGGCTGCTGCAGTCATCTCTAGAGTTGTTCAGAGGGATTCTGGGTCAAATTTGGGCCCTCCTCCCGCATTTCCAGCCATCCTATGATGGGTCATGCAGAGGTATTGACACCTACCGCTTCCTGAACTTGCTCTGTGGGATGCTTTTCTCTTGTGATTCAATCCCACAGTGAAGGATCATACATTTGGGGCAAAAGCCAGGAAGCTGGGTACAAGTGGATTTTTTTCCTCTCTACCTTCACTAGTCCAAGTACTGAAGACAATTTTGTCATTCACTGCACCCTACCAGGGCCATGGGAGGTCCAACAAAATGAAACTGGCACCCATTTGAAATTCAGGCAAAGAGAATTTTTATTCTGTGATTAACAGATATGAAAGCACAGCGCAGCTTCATGTGCATGATGTGAGCAGAAGCAGTTGGGCCACAGAGCACAAAGTCAGCTCTGCTTTCCCACACCTACCCCAAAATTCAGCCCCAAGGTATCGTTCGCCAGTTTAGGACATCTCCCCATGCCAAGTGCCCAAGTAATTATTTCAGAGCTAGAATGTGTGAGAGTAATACCAGGGGAAGGAGCTGAACGGCTTCCCCTGGGCAAGCAGAGCTTTCCCTGTAAAACAAGGGTATGTGAAGCAGAGTCACGTCCCTCCATCTCTTCAGCTGAACCTACAGAAGCATTTAAAGGGTGTTGCCAGCATATTTCACTCTGACATCACCGATGGCCTCGACACCCCTGTCCAGGCTGTAAGCAGAAGGGGAGTGCAGGGAACTGAGGTTTGTGACCATCAGCTCCCTGGAGAAGGTCTTGTAGGAGGGGTTTGGAGGTCTGTGGTGGACCCACAGCTCCTTTGTGGTGCAGAAGGAGGAAGTTGCAGGAGGACTGCGCTGTATCCCCAGGTCTTTAATCGTGCAGTAAGTGACCTCAGGGCACAGCTCTACTTCCTTGATGGTACAGAATGTGGGGCGCTGGAGGGAGCCTTTGAAGCTGTTGAGATGCATCACAGGGCTTCCTGCCGACTCCCTCCGCCTCAGCAGTGGATACTGCACCTCCTGGGTCTGCAGGGATCTGCGCCAGGAGGGCCGTCCCACCAGATCCATCCACAACAAGCAGCCTGCTAGAGCCAGCACGATCAGGACCAGCAGAGCCAAGGATGCCAGGTAGAGGACCCAGTGCAGTAGGCAGCAGCGCCTCAGCACCCACTGCCCCCACTGTGGACCCTCCCCACGTGCCTGCGAGTGCAGCACGGGTACGGCCAGTCCTTGGGTGGAGCACGGGCAGAGCGGGAGAGGTGCGGGTGAAGGGGAAGGTGCAGGCTGGGTAAAGTGTGTGGTGTTCAGGGGAGCTGGTGGCGTTGAGGCATGACTGGAAAGCATGGTGGTGGAGACCGGTGTGGTCGACGTAAGCGGAGGAGATGAAGAGTCTAGTTTGGCAGAAGACAGCACTGTTGTGGAGGTGGTGGGAAATGCACCAGTGGACATGATGGGAGTGGCAGAGGTGTGGATGGTGCTGGTGGTGAGGGTGGTGGTGCTGGGAGGTCTGGTGCTCATGGTGGTCGGCAGTGAGGTGGTGGAGACGAGCGTGGTGGGTCTGTATGGGGTGCTGGTGGGAGCAGCAGTGCTAGGGGTCTGTGTGGGTGTGACAGTGGGGCTGGTTGGCGCAGGAGTGGTGGTGCTGGGAGCTCTAGTGCTTGCAGGCAGCACAAGCAAAGTTCTTGAGGTGAGGGTGGAGCTACAAGGGGTGTCGAGGTGAGGTCTTGTGGTAGCGAGCAAAGACCAGGTAACAGCATGGGGCATGGTAGTGTGCTCTTTGGGGATGGGTGGATGCTGGGTGATCACGATAGCTTTCTCCATCGTTTCTTCCCCATCCCCATAGTCCTCCTCTTCCTCCTCATCTGCATCCCCCATGTTGCCGCAGTTGAGCTTGATGTGGATGATAGGCTTCTGCTGGTGCTCAGGGGGGCTGTGGCACAGAACCTTCTCAGGGGCAACCTCCACCTTTGTCTTCTCCAGGCCCCGCTCTGGCTGATAGACGCTGCCCTCGTTGCCCCGGATCCAGTACCGCAGGTAGCGCAGGTCACAGTCGCAATGCCAGGGGTTCTCCGTGAGGAAGACATAGGCAAAGATGTGCCCCTCAGGGAAGAAGTGGGTGGGCAGGGTCTGCAGGCGGTTCCCTGAGAGCCAGAGGGTCTCCAGCTTTCCCAGATCCTGCAGTAGCTCCTTGGGGAGCTTCTCCAGGAGGTTATCCGAGAGGTCCAAGTCCTTGAGTGCCCTCAGCCCCGCAAAGGCGTCCCAGGGCAGTGTTTGCAGCTGGTTCCCTCGCAGGTCTAGGTCCTGCAGCCGTGGCACGGTGCGGAAAGCCCCCGGGGCCAGAGCCACCAGGTTGTTGTGGGCCACGGCCAGGCGGGTGAGGTCAGGCAGGCCCTGCAGGGCAGGCAGGGCCCCCAGTGCATTTCGGGAGAGGATCAACTCCCTCAGGGTTGGCAGCGGGGTCTTGGTGTGCAAGGCCACCAGCCCGTTGTCGGCCAGGTCAAGGTCCTGCAGCTGGGCGAGGGGCTGGAAGGCGGCGGTGGAGAGGGACGTCAGGCGGTTGGCACTCAGCAGCAGGATGCCCGTGTCCACCGGCAGGCCTGGGGGCACTGTGCTGAGGGCCTGCCCCGTGCAGTTCACCTCCAGGAGGTCCTTGACCTTGTTCATTTCTGACGGACAGGGCTGGCCTAGGTCAGCAGCACTGGGTGGGGGCAGCAGGGCCAGGAGGATGAGCAGGAGCAGGGCAGGGACCTCCATGGCCTGGAGGGGAGAGCCAAGAGGCGTGGGCACAGGCAGACACACACCTACATAGTGCCTTCCTTCCAGCCACCATTTGCAACAGAGCTGGCATCCTCCGCCAGACCCTCTGCACCCCACAGCTCCTTCCTGGGAGGATGGACAGGAGAGACGATTCCCACACCTACTGCCAGCACCCACCCCGCCATCTCGTCCTTGGAGAGGCTGAGCAGGCTCAGCAAGGAGACACCATCTCTGCCCTTTTGCTCACCTCATCCTCCTCCACTGGAGAAGTAGCTGGTTCACATCCTCCCAGCGGTGCCTCCTCTGCAGGGTGGCATTGCTGTCCCCACCACTGCAAAAGCAGTGTCTCCACAGTGTTCATGTGCCTGCAAGCCCACACCCATCGCAGGCCAGAGACACCGTGTGCTGGAAGAGGCTCCCCAAATACACTCTCAGCCAGCACCAGCTGAGCCCTCTGCTCAATTTGGGTTCATGAGGTAGGAGCATGAATCATACAATCACAGAATGGTTTTGTTTGGAAAAGACCTTTAAGATCCTCAAGTCCAATCATCGAACCAGCCCTAAGTCCGCCACTAGAGCATGTCCTTAAGCACAACATCTCCTCATCTTTTAAACACCTCCAGGGATGGTGACTCCACCACCTCCCTGGGCAGCCTCTTCCAGCACTTGACAACCCTGTCAGTAAACAAATTCGTCCCAATATCCAACCTAAATCTCTCCAGGCACAACTTGGGACCATTACCCCTTGTCCTATCACAAGTTACAAGGGAGAAGAGACCAACCCCCACCTTGCTACAACCTCCTTTCAGAGGCTTGTAGAGAGTTATAAGTTCTCCCATCAGCTTCCATTTCTCCAGACTAAAGATCATGTGAAAAGAGCTTCCCATGCACAGACATGGCTACCCCGAGCACCCAGCCCCAATGGACACCACTGCCCTGGGACTCACCCGTGGACCCTCCAGCGTCCTCTCCTCTGCAACTTTGTCTCTGTCTACCCAAGGATGGGTGCTGGTCTGGTGGCGGCGGGGCTGCCTAGGCCCCCTATCAGCACATGCAGCTGTGGGATGGGAGCTGTGGCTTCCTGTGCACCCAAACCCAGCTCCTGTCCTTCAGCACTGCCCCCACACCACCATTCCCTTGGAAAAGTCTCAACCAGAGACAGGCTCCATAATTTCTTACTTCTGCACACTAAAGGACGGAGGGTCACGGCCAGGAGGAACCCTTCAATGCCCCCTGTTCCTCCAAGCCACTCTTTTTCACATCCTGGAAAAAGGGTCCCTTGCACAAATGCCTGCCCCATCTGCTTCTTTCTCAAGCCTTTGATCCTTGAGGCACCTCAACCTGGGGACTGCAGCCTTGTTGGCACACCAGCGAGAAACAGTTTCTGAACGTTACCTCAGCTCATCCTCTGTGGTGTGGGTGAGAGATCCTTTCTTTCTGGCTTGCCAGCAGAACTGGGGATGGCTTTTCTGGAGAGCTGTGAAACAGCTTTAACACTTGTGGGAGAAGCCACGGCACAGACCAGGCAAGGAGATTAGAGGCAGAGGAAGGAGCTCACTTTCTCAGTTCCTCCTGCTGCCTGCTCTGCAGCCGAGCTGACTCCACTCCCCTGGCCCATAGGTCACTGCAGAGCATCTCAGGCCGCAGGGCTGGAGGTCACCCAAAAGCTGCAAGGGAAGATGCTGGGCTGAGCATGACCAGACCTACCCTGACGCACAAGCATGTGCATCCTCTCTCATTTCTGAAAAGCCCACGAATTCATCAGTAGTGACGAAGCCTTCCCTTGGGAAGGTCCGTGCTTGAGGATCTGGTATGAGTGCATGTCTGGCCTCAGAGGAAGCACCCACATCTGTCCTCCTATTGCAGGCAGCAGTTTTCACTGCAGCAAAGTAACCTGGAGTTGCCCGAAAACGTCTCAATATGAGATGCCCTTCTTCGTACGAATTTTTGGTTTCTCCGGCTTGATTTCAGCTCACATGGGACATTCTGAGCCTGCTCCAGGCTCCTCAGCACTGTAAGCAAAAGCAGCTCTTCCTCCCCCAGAAGGAACGACCAAAGGTGGGGTCCATCCCACAGTGTCAGACATCTCCGGGTCACCTGGACTCATGCTGCGGGCAGGCACAGGGACAAGCCATGGACCCGTCCCACTGATGTGCCTTGACGGTCTCCTGCAGGATGTGGTGAACAGTGGCTTTTAAGTGGAAAGGGGTAAATTTAGATTAAACACTGGGAGGAAATTCTTCCCTGTGAGGGTGGTGAGCACTGGCCCAGGTTGCCCAGGGAAGCTGTGGGTGCCCCCTCCCTGGCAGTGCCCCAGGCCAGGTTGGACAGGGCTGTGAGCAGCCTGGGCTGGTGGAGGTGTCCCTGCCCATGGGGGTTGGACTGGGGGAGCTTTGAGATCCCTTCCCACCCAAACCACTCTCTGAGTCTATGATTTTCTCAAAACCACCGACAACTCCCCACAGGCGAAAAGTAGGTAGAGACAACGCCTCAGACACAGGTGTTTGGTGCTGACACACAGACAGACAAATCCCAGTTAAGTAACTTTATTCTGCAGGTGTAAAAAGTGGTCCCTGCTGCAGGAATGTCTTCCCAGTGGGAGTGGTGTCCAACAGAGCGCGGGTGACAGGCAGCAGTCTCCAGTTGCAACAGGGGGAAGCTCTGACCAGACACAAAGGGAGGACTTTGCCCCTTGAGGGAGGTGCAGCACTGGGACAGTGTCCAGAGAGGTAACGAGATCTCCACCCCTGGAGATCCTACACAATCCAGCTGAGCCAGGTCCAAGGAGACCTGAGGCGCTTTGAGTTCAGCCCTGCTGTGAGCAGCCCTTGCAACAGAAACCTCCATAAGTTCCTTTCAACCAAAACCTTTCTGTGAGTTCCAACTACAGAGGTCCCCTAAAAAAGCTTTCTCTCACTCACTCCCCTTTGTCAGGGACACATCTTGAGCCACGTCCCAGGACCCAGCCAGACCCAAGGGTGGACTCTTGTCCCCTCAAATGACGTCAATGGAAACGTGAAGATGGGAATCTCCTCATCAACACTGAAAAATGCCACCCGTCCCTCTTCATAATCCAGAGAGACCCGGATCCGCTTGGGAGCCTGGATTTCAGGAAGGAGAGTCCGAGTGGGGAATGTGAGTGCCTGGAAGTGCCCTGCCCACTGCCCCACTGCCCAGATGCCCTCCTCCGGTTTAAACTCGATTTCCCCCTTCCTTTTCACATCTTCTCTAGAGACGCCCACCGTCCACCCTCCTCCATCCACCACCTCCACCTCCCAGTAGTATCTCCCTGAGGTGAAACCTTCACAGCCCAGCACGCAGCGCCATGGGTTAAACCTCTGAGGGATGTCGGGGATGTCCTGCAGCGTGTCTTCTCGTTTGACGCTTTTGCAGTCGTCGGACAGGACGAGGTCACGGTGGGCTGTGTCTGGGTCCAGAACCACCTTCGCTGTGGGAGAAATGAAGTCAACACATCAGGGCAGAGCTCACCACAGCACAGATCAATGCCAGAGCTGCCTAAGGAAGAAGGAAAAGGATACAAGCAGTAGCTGCCAGGCTGTGGCACGGAAAGCTGCGCAAGATAATGGCATTTGCGCAAGGAAAGGGAAATGAAGAAAAGAGATGACATTGAGCAAGGGTGGAAGAGGACTGTGAAACTTTCCAGGCTGAGAACATCTCCGGGTCTCTAAAACGTGGCCAGCACTGCTCGCTGAGGAGCAGGAGTCTCCAGACTTGCCTGACACTGGGCATGCACCAAACGAACAAGAGGTCTGCATGTTACACTTCCCCCTGTAAAGTGGGGGCTGGCAGAGCAGCCCTCGTCCCACCAGCACCACTGCAAGAGGGGAAACTAGCAGGACAGGAGATTGAAGCAGGAAAGATGATTCAGCATCCTGAAAGACCAAACTTTAATTACCTTCTTCTATGGGCGCGGCGTATCTTCTCCATGCTTTAAAAAAACCAAACAAAACACAGATGAGAGGTAATCTGAACATGCAGGTGCTGGATTAGCTCAGGATAATGACACGTCAGTGTAGCTGCTCATTTCCCAAATTGCTGTTGTGTTTGTGAAAGTCATCTCACAGCATGTAGCGTTAAAACCCCAATGTCTACCTACAGGAAAGGGCTCCATCTGTTTTCCACAAATACAATCACGCTGCCTGTCCTGGTTCAGACATGTATTCATGGTCTGTTTGTACTTTCTTTGAAAACCAAAAGCTTTTTCTTAATATTTCTATACTAAGGATTACAGGGACTAGCTTAAAAACACACAGATAGCAAAGGAAAACAACATTTCTGAAACGAGTTCAGTATCTGCTACCTCTTCCTTTCCCAAAAGGAAAACCAAAACCATGGCATACGTGCAAAACCCCAAAGAGAAAATGGCCCAACTGGAAAGTCTCTCTTGTAGGAAGGAGAACAACACTCACCAAGTTCTTCAGCTTGCTTTTCTGGAAAAAAACCCAAGATAAATCAGCACAAATGGGTTGAGGGATATAGGTTTGTGTCTAACCTCACCCGTGACTGCCTACGAGTGCAGAGGGTGGGTTCCTTGGCAGCACAAAGCCCTCTCACACCCCAGGCTGGGGTCTGCTCTGCAGGGAGGGTGCAGGGTCTCTGGGAGGTCCCTCCCCTGTAGGGGGATGGGTTACACAGTGTTTCTCCAAATCACAGTGCCAGCAGCGAGGGTCCACAGGGCACCCTCCCCCTGCCTCTGCTGCCGTTGCGGCCGCCCATCCCCAACCCCAGCCACCATCTTCAATGATCTTCAATTTTTTGATCCTCAGATTTGCTCTCTCCCTTCTGCCCCCATCCCCAACCACCTTTCACAGAATCACAGAATCGTTTCGGTTGGAAAAAGACCTTTAAGATCAAGTCCAACCACTGACCTAGCGCTGTCGTTCAGTTCAACCCGCACTTTGAAAGTGAAAAGCAAACAGAAAAAAACCCCCAAAAATCTACCACCCTACATTATACAAGTCTCTTGTGAGGAAGAGGAGGAGACTCACCAATCTCTGCATCGCGGTCTCCTGAAGAACAGAAACACACAGAGGTTACTGCTGACCCAGCCCTGCCCTGGGACCCCAAAGTACCCCAGAGGGGAGCAGAAGGGGGAGAGGATGCGCTGATTTATTTCCTAATTGCAAGGAAGCTGCCAGTTCCAGAGGGACCTGACCTGTGTTTGCCTTCCCCATTGAGCTGCAATGGCACCAATTTAGCAAGAGCTCATTTTTAATAGCCAAAGGACTATTCTGGGGCCATTCCATGAGCTGCAAACAAAAATCCAATTAAAAAATATATATGTCCCCTTCAAGTGTTGGTTTGTTGTTTGGTTCAGGGCTTTTTTCACATTTTTAATTTCCTGGTAATCAAGCAATCTATATTTTTGTAAGAAAATTCTCAACAGCTTCGGTTTCTGCCATCTTCCCCTAAAACCCAGTAACTTTTCAGTGCAATTTCACTACTTAATTTAAAATGAGAGCGTTAAAAAGCATTGACAGCCACTCAGGGAGAAGATCCTAATGACTTTTCAGAGTGAATTTTCATATGATTAGGGTGACATGAGAGGGGGAAGTAAAGCATCTGCCCAGAAATAGCACTGGGACAGAATGAGAGGAGGAATAAGAAAGCCTGAAGGGTTTCAGAGGATTTCACTGGGGAGCGGGACTTACTGAGTGCTGCCTCCTGCATCGCTGCAAAGCAAAACCAGAACAGAGTATCACCAGCAAAGCCAAAGCCTTTTTCACCAAAGTTTCCTCCAGCCTTGGGTAGAACCTTGGGAGCCCCTCGAAAAGCAAAGTTCACTCTTGGTACAACATCTGCTCGCACTTTCTTTGGTTCTGCAATGCTACACCTTAAATTTACAACATCGCTTTGTAATTTTGTAATTTCATCAATTAATTTCACAATTTTCTTAGCCACTGCCCAAACCATTCCCCACCCTCCCCCATGAATTCTTCCCTTTGAGGGAATTGTCCAATTTCTGGAAAATGGACAATAAAACTTACCTATTTTTTTCTCCTGCTTGCCTACGAAAGAAAAGAAGAAATCTAAATAAATTTGCAAATAATCTAAACAATTTTGTAATTAATCTAAATAATTTTTAAAAACCTGTTTTGTAGCTCCCTGGCACCACACGTGTGTCCCAAAGGCCCCAGGATCACCCTGGCATTTCCCAAACCCACGCGTTCGCAGCCACCCAGCCCCTTCCCCAAGCACCGCGCCAGGACGATACCTTTAATTCTAAAGAGATAAACGGCAACAATAACGAGAGCAACCACAGCGACCAGGACTGCGCCCAGGGCGGTTATCCAAGGATGTGCGTTATGGAAAAAGGGATCTGAAAAATAAAACCCCAAAGATGTAAGGTTCCCCTGCATTCAGCCACGGGAAGGGTTTACTTCTGTTTCACACAAGCTCAGCCCGTGCAGGTCTGGGTCCCATCAAGGGTGAAAATCAGCTCCTGACTGTACTCCACAAACCAGAAAAAATGAAATAATAAAAAAATAAAATCCATTTTGGCAAGTTAGCACTTGTCTGAGGCTGATGATGTTTTGCCTGCATACACTGGGGGGGGGGAAGGGGGTGTGTGTGTTAAAATAGATTTCTAGCTGAATTATTCCTAGTTAAATCAAACTTTCTTATCCTTCAGGAAAAACCCCTATCTTTCATGAGGCAACATAGGGTCAGATCCAGGGTAACACGTGCATCAACAGCAGCACTCCCGTGCAGAGCAGAATCACCAGGAGAAAGGTACAGCCCCCCTGGGAAACAAAGTCTCCCACAATTGTTCATTCCCAAAGCTTTCAGTTTGGAGCAGGACACAGCCTGTGGGGTTGTAGCGCAGTCTGGGGTACAGTTACTCCAGTTCACCATTGCACTCTGTTCTCATATATTCCCTGATCCAAAACAATCTCCCAGTAAAAAAGTGAGCTTTTCTGTGTGACAAGGAAAAAATAAAAATACATTCAATATACGGTGGTGCTACAACAAGACATGAGGATTTGTTTCTCCCACTGAAGCAGTAGAACAGGATTTCACAGCAGGGGAGGCTGAGGCCAGGGGCTGCTTTCTCCTTTTTTGTTTGTTATGAACATTCGTATTTAACCCCAGTGTCTGTAGAAACTCTGCTACCACAGGGGCTGTCTCTCCCCCGAAACCGCACTCGAGCACAGCAGCCGGTGCACGAACCCCCAAACAGCAGAACGCCCCCGTGAGCGGTAATGCCCCAGTCCCGCTCACCTGACACGAAAAACGCCGCTCCCTGTCCTTGGACGGAGCAGGAGAGCCCTTGGTTCACACCTCTGGTGAGGATGATGCTGCTTTCAGCTGTGAAGAGGCCGCTCTCGTCCTGGGTGATGCTTTCCGCGAAGGCGGGAAGATGCCGCCCGTGGGGGTCTTCCCACAGCACCTGGGGCTGCGGGTACCAACCGGCCGAGCGGCAGCACACCCGGATCCCCCCGTCCTGGTAGCGCTCCAGCGTGATGAGCGGGGCAGAGCCGCTGGCTGCGGGAAACACAGACCACAGGTCACCCTGCGGCGCTGTGGTGTGACCTGAAAAGCAGCTGAACACCACGGAGCCGCTCGCTCGCTTCCCCCCTCCCCAGCAAGAATTGGGAAGGTAAAGGACTCATCAGTTGAGATAAAGACTGTTTAATAATGAAAATAAACCAAATGGAAATAATTATAATAATATTATAATGAATTGTAATAAAATTAGGAATAGCAATAATAAAGCAATCAAAGTTATCCTCAGCTCCCAGACAGCAGCCACTGGCTGTATGGCAATGAAACCACAATGGTGAGAGGTGAACCTCAGGAACCGAGATGGGGCCACCATCATGAAGGGGAAGGGAAGGAAAGGAGAAGAAAAGGAATCAAAAGGAAGGGGTCGTTCCCTGCAAGCTGTCCAATTTATAGTGCGTGTGACATTTGTGGGGTAGAATACATTTGTATTGGTCAGCTTGGATCACGCCCGGATCATCTGTCCTGGGTCACCCGTGCCAGAAAAACCTGGGCTTTCACTCCGTCCTGTCCCCATCCTTTTGTCCAGAGAGAAGGAAGGAAAAAAAAACCCAAAACTAAAATAATCTGTGACCACAAGTTTAGGCAAAGACTGGAAAACAAACTTGAGATATTACAAACACCTGCTGGTCGTATCACCATCCCTCTTAGCATAAATCCAGAACGAGCTCTCCCCAGCCACTGTGAAGACAACAACTCCATCCCAAAGCTCTCGTATTGCCTTGTGCTCGCTAACCCCAACATTGCAGCGCTCAGATTGAACCAGAAAAAGGAAATTCTAGGATTCAACCCCAGCACAACCAGGACAGCCAAAAACCAGGGGGGTGAGGGGGCCTGGCTGCGCCTCTCCCTGACAAGAGGGAATCAACTTCAACACAGACAAATCCCAGGGATTTTGGGACAGGTGTCACCAGGAGGCAGGACATTTCTTGCAGGCTTTTCACATAACTCAAGGATCTGCTCTGGAAGCGACTACTGCAGCAAAACAATCTCCAGGCCTGGATACTGAGATATAAAAGTACGAACCAAGGCATTCTTACTTTGTTACTCAATGCCGATTTTTTTCTTACACCCATTTACATGAAGAAAACAGTATCAAGAACTCTTCCGAAGTGGGTGGTGTATCTCATGAGCTCCTTACAGCCTCTCAGTAGGCAATTTTACCTCTCTGAGACATTCCTGGTATTTTCAACCAAAGGGCTTAACAAAACCTGATTTCCAAAGTGAAGAAGAGCAAGGAAGAAGAGCAGGGAAGAAGAGTAGGGAAGAAGAGCACTGGCTCCACGTGAGTAAATGAGAGGCAGCGAGGACATGGGTTACAGACCTGTCACCACCAGCTCCACCACGGCCTCCTCGTAGTGCGAGCCATGCTGCACGAAGCAGGTGTAATTCCCTCTGTCAGACAGGTGGACGCGGAAAATTTTCAAGTCCACGGTGCCATTGGCGAGGCCATTCTTCAGCAGCTCTGTGCGCCCTTGGTAGTGGAGCATCTGCTCCCCGTACTGGTCCTGGCCCCCCTTGTAGCGATGCACGAAAGGCAAGAATTGCTCCCGAAACCAGACCACCTCGGTGTCCTCCCACACGCGCTGCTCCAGGGAGAAGCGGCACGGCAAGACCACGTCCTTGCCCATGGCCACAGTGATGGGGCCAGGGGGTCCCGTCACGTTGAGTCGTGCTGGGAGAAACACCCGGAAGAAGAAATGACCACGAGTTTGCTGTGGCAACCAAGCTCAGGAAAACCAGGGGATGCTGCTCTGTGCCGTTTGTGTGCTGCCATGCCAGGCTATCATGTTGGCAGCGTTACCACACTGGGGAAACTGAGGCACGGAGGGGAGGGCTGGAAAAGGGACTCCACCTTGCACCCTCTGCTGTGAAAGGTCTTCAAATGCCCAAAAGATTATTTGCCCTCAAGGGGACCAGTGCTGCCCATGGTGCTCAGGTTGGGGAGGAAGCGGGGTAAGGAGCGAAGGAAGAAGCTGAAAGGTTTCTAGGTGCTTGGCTGGAGAAAGCAGGCAGCTTGGGTACAATTAAAACTCAAATATCCTCAGCTATTTGCACAAGAGAAAATGAAAACAACTCAGGTGCTCTGGGCATCTTTGGAAATTATTTTTAAAAAGGCTTATTAATAGGCTGGCCGCTCAGCTGACAGAGAAAGTGGTTTCTGGTTGAAGGAAAATAAAAGCAAATAAAATTTTTTTGGCAAGGTAGCTTTCAAGTCTACTGTTGTGCTGCATCCTTTTGCAAGCTAACAGAAAAAGAGCCAAGAATATTTTTTAAAAGACGGTATTTTTTTCACTTTATTGAATTGGTTCTGCAAAGGGACACAGTGCAGAGAAGTGATGATGTGCTGAGAACAGGGAAAGTGGGGAGAGAAAGGCAGCAAACCATAACCAACTCATCGGGAGCATTCAATCTCCAGCTGGGGTCAGTGAGGTTGTGCAAATATCTGTGCGGACACAGCCAGGTGAATAAACTGGGATCCAGGGGAATAAACTGGGATCCAGAGGGTTAAATCAAGATCCATAGGAATAAACCAGGATCCAGAGGGGTAAACAAGATCCAGAGGGATGCTGGCGCTCTCAGACGTACACAAGGTTTATGACTTGAAAAGATTTGGGCTGGAAGCAAGGCCCCAGGGATCAGCAAGAGCCAGGGGATCCCTACCTGACTGCAGCTCCTGAGCTTGGAAAATGAACCCGTAAATGACAAAAGCCAGCAGAGAGCAGCGCAGGTGGAAATGGGAGAGCATCCTCATCGCTGGAGTAAAACCTGGAGACAGGGAAGGAGAGAGAAGGGGCAAAGGGGAGCAGAAACAAGGAAATAATTTTTTAAAAGGCAGAATTCACTTTTCAAGTGGTTTATTGCAGATTGCAGCCCCTTTTCATAATGTCTAGGGAAGGCCTCAGATGCTGAAATTTGAAATCGATTTTCCATCATCAACCTGACTGCGCTTGCTGTTTTACATAAAAAGTACCCAAACTGGTATAAAAAGTTGCAGGAATTCCCTATGGGGAAACAAAATACGAGCTACATCTCCCCTAATTCCACAAAAAAGTGGCATTTGTTTTAATATAGAGCCCTCGCTTTTCTTATCCAGCCCTAGGAAAGAGATGGAAAGGCGCAGGATGAGGAGGAGAAACCCAGATCGAAAACATGTGGGGCCAGGGCTGCACTCCTCCTCCTCCAGGAAAACGTGGGACTCTGTGGGGGTCGCACCCCTGAAACCACCCCGAGGGCGGGAGGAGCTCTTAAACCAGTGAAAGCAAAATTAAACCTTTTTTTTAAATTCAACGCCCAGCCACGATGGGACGTGGCCCTGCCCCAAACACCTCCCGAGCCCTCTTACCGACCGCTGAAGTAGTCGCAGCCTCCTTAAAGCGATGCGAAAACCATCAATTCTGGCAGAAAGCGATTTCAGTCGCAGCTTTTGGGGCCCCCGGGCTCCTTCCTGGGCTCAGGGCTGGGGCAGGAGCTGCTCGGCGTCACCCGCCGTGTCCGAGAGGGTGGCCCCGATCCCTGCTGAGCGTTGCCCTGCCCGAAAACCAAACCGAAACGTCACCCTGCGTCCCAGCCTGCCACCGCTTCCTCCTGCACTGCATCCGCTCCAAAATGAAACTTGCTGAGTGATCGGAGGGTTTTTTGGCAATGCTTTTGCTCCTCTGGTAACGTCCACGGGGGCGTCCTGCCGTGGACACCCCCCACGGCTGCGTGTCACAGCCTCCTCCGCGGCTTTCCCGGACTCGGAAAAGTTGGGTACGGGAAAGGCGTTTGTACATTCCCGGGAGCAGCGGGAAGGAGGAGCCGGGATTCGCACGCAGGGGCGTGGGGGGAGCGATGCCCAGCACAACCTTTAAAATCGCTTAAAAGCAATTCCCCCCTACCCCGGCCAAGAGGCGAGGCCATCGAGGACGTTTTTTTCAGGGAAAGCTCCTCCCTCGGCTGTGTCGTGCAGGCAGCCCCACGGCGTGCATAGACCTATGGGGTGCTCAGCCCCATGGCGTGTTCAACCCCACCGGGACCCAGCTGGGTTCAGCACCCTCCATCCCCAGCTGGGGGCGCGGGGGCCGCCAGGAGGGACAGCATCTGCTCAGGTGAAGGAACCTGGTGGGGACCTTGCCAAAGGGATGGCAAGGAAAGAGGGAGGTGATAAATGATGCTTGAGGAGACACAGACCTGGCCACAAATGGGTGCTGCAGGTGGGTGCTGGTGGAGGCTGTGACCAGGGAGGGGGTGTGGGGGGTGTGTGTAGGGATATCCCTGGGACCCATGTTTAACTTCATCACTGGTTGCCTGCACACACTGGACTTGAGCAGCAGCCCTCATCGTGCCATAGGGAGAGGTCTGGAGCACACGAATGATGGGGAGCAGCTGAGGGAGCTGGAGGGGTCAGCCTGGAGAAGAGGAGATGAGGGGAGACCTCATCACCCTCTACAGCTCCCGAAAGGAGGGGTTAGCAAGCGGGTATCAGTCTCTTCTTCCCAGGAACAAGGGATGGGACAAGAGGCAATGGCCTCAAGTTGCACCAGGTTGTCACCTCCAAGGAACCCTCCAAGTGGGGATGAAGCCATTGCCTCTGGGCACATCATCCCCTCCTGCCTGACCGAGGCGAGGTGGGAGGCAGAGCCCAGCACCTGCTGTCCTCCATTTACTGGTTGAGCAATTGAGGCAACCCACGTCCTGCCAACATCTCCACCCTGAGAACCGTTGGCAGGATGACAAACCTGGGCAAGCAGCACCTGTAAGGAGCCAGAGCTCTTCTCTCATCAGGGTCCGCAGCCTGGGCACCCAGAGCACGGTCACTGTGGTGCCCAGGTGACGTCCCGCCAGTCTGGAGATGCGTGTGGTGCTGCTGGCCCAGGGGGCTCTGAGCTCCCTCCTGCAGGACGATACAGCCCCTTCCCACGGTGTGGCTGGCTCTTATCACTGCCCCACAGCTGGCCCAGGGAGAGGAGATACAACAGATCCTGGGGTGCAAACAGGACAGGGCACTGCAGGAACCCCCAGAGCCAAGTGTCAGATGAGGACACACGCCTGCCAGTAGTGTCGGGGCAGGGAGGAAGGTGGAAGCTCCAGTGGGGTGTTCCCCACAGAGAGGTGAAGGTGCTGGGTCTCAGCTGTGCTTCCCAGGCCATCCAGCCCCTCTGGACATCAATCTGCCTGCTCAAACCAGCTGGAAATGCTGTGCAAGCCCAGCCTTGAGCTGCCAAGGAGGTGAGGGAAGTGGAGACCTCCAGACCCAACCAAAACCTCCATTCCTGAAGTCAGGTGAGTGCTGGCTGGCTAAAATGTGCCTGGATGCTGTGACTTTTCCATCATCCCTTCTGCTTCTTTATCGTCTTTAGGCAGTCTCTGAGTCCTGCCTCCCCTCCTGTTGATTTTTTGATCATGTTGGTCTCCAGGATGGAGAGAGAAGAGAGGGAAACCCCAGCCAGTGAGGTGGAGGAAATGAGTGGAAGAGGTGAGTTTTGCCAAGGGAAGAGGAGGGGAACTGTGCTCTGCTGAGGAGAAAAATGCATTCTGTTCCGCTGGGCCAAAGCACCTGGAGCTTGTCCCAGCCTGGGCTGGTCATGATTGGGGGGATCAGTGGCTGCAAAACCCCCAGCTGAACTCCTCGTGCTGTTGACCCACCAAAGGCGCCTGAGCTGCCATCCTTGGCTCCCTCCATTTCCTACAGAAAGCGACAGGAATCTGGGGTCCTGGGATAATGTCCATCGCGCTGGTCTGTGCGTGGTCATGCCTGTTTGACCCCTGCAGCACTGGAGATGCCCAGGCTCAGGCCCAGGTTTGCACAGCAGATGTGCACCCCCTCTCAGGTGCCACCTCCTCCGGGAAACCGGGGCTTTCTTAGCCAGGGGTTGCATGAAAGCTCCTGGATCAGGAGCTGGGGCAGATCAGGGCAGCACTGGGGCTGGGACAGCCCAAAGTGAGGGAGTTCCCACCCCATGCAGGGCATCTCTGGGCAGGGGAAGGGAAATCGCCCGCTCCCTTCTGCAGCCCCAATGCCTGCCCTGAACAGTGTCTCCTCCTCTGTCCCCAGCTGATGTGACCCTGGACCGAGACACCATGAACCCCTTCCTGATCCTGGCTGGCGACCAGCGAGGCGTGGGACGGAGGCAGGAGTGGACCTCATTGCCCGACACCCCTGAGCGCTTCGACACGGAGCCGTGCGTGCTGGGCAGCCAGGCCTTCGCCGCGGGGAGGCACCACTGGGAGGTGGAGGTGGCCGAGGCAGGGGACTGGTGGGCTGTGGGGGTGGCCCAGGAGTCTGTCAGGAGGAAGGGGGTCCTCAGTTTCACTCCCCAGGAGGGGATCTGGGCTGTAGGGCAGTGGTTTGGGCAATACTACGCTTTCACCGAGCCTGACTGGACCCCCCTGCACCTCACCTGCCTCCCCAGGGCCATCCAGGTCTGCCTGGACCTCACGGACGGGCGGGTGGCATTTGCCGATGCTGAAAATGAAGCCCCTATCTTTGCTTTCTGCCTGGCCCCATGTTCTGGGGAGAGGCTGCGGCCCTGGCTCTGGGTGGGGATGGACTCGTGGCTCAAGCTGTGCCCCTGACATGGAGGGAGCGCGGGGAGTGGGGGGAGATCAGAAAGGAGACCACCATCGTCCTGGGTGCTGGGAATGGGGAGGGTCCTGCGTCCTGCCAGCTTCTCCTCGCATGGTTCCTCTGGCCACCAAGCGGGAGAACGGGCAGGGCTTGGGGGGTGGGCGCCACCGAAGAGCCGTGTTCATCCCCTCCACCCCACAGCGGGGATTGCAGAGACCACAGGGAGCACAGAGATTCAGTGCATGGGGGAGCTTGGTGCCAGAGCTTCTTGGGGCAGAGAAGTGGTATCGAGTGTTGGGGCCTGCAGAGCAGCTCTGGACAAGGCCGTGAAAAATACAGCAAATTCAAACTCCTGAACTGGTGCTGGAGTGGTGTCTGGCTTTTTTCAATTAACCTTAATGATTGAATTTAAAAAACCCACACATAGCTGGATGCTGCAGCTCATGATAACACTTCTCCATACTTCCAAAGCCTCTCCTTGCCTTATTTCCAGCTCTCACTGGTGTGTGCATTAAGCAGAGCACTGGTGACAGCTGTGGGGAGAGCCAAGGGAGCAAAGCAAGAAATGGAGAAGTGTCTGGAGTGCACAGGCACAGCAGGCCCTGCAGATCTGTGTTCCCCGATCTCATCCCATCAGGGTCTCCTTTTCCCCACGTGGAATAGACTGGACTGAACAGTTCAGGTGGAAGGGACCTGCAATGGTCATCTCCAGCTGCCTGGCCGCTTTGGGGCTGACCAAGTCAAAGCACATTGTTAAGGGCATTGCCCCAATGCCTCTTAGGCACTGACATTTTGGTGGCATTTTGGGGAACTGACATTCAAAGGACATTCTAGACCTGGAAAAGGTGTGGGGTGGTCCCAAATCCCAGGGACCTTGCTCTGTCCTCTCCTGCTCTTAGGAGAAGAAAAGCCGAGTGTAGGCAAAGGAGAGCATTGCCTGGGCCCAGCCCAGAGTTCGTCTCCAGCCACGTTGCTGGTTGGACCCTCTCAGTGCCACCTCAGATGTCACCTCTGCAGCGGCAGCCGGGTACAGGCCACAGCACAGATAAGGCTCCACGTGGAGTAGGTACAGCCCTGAGGGACCGCAGTCTGTGGATGAGTCCAGGCTGGAGCAGGGGCAAGGGGAGGAGCCAATTGCATTAAATCCCACAACTCTGTGCCCGTGAAGCAGCCTGATCCTTGCCTCTGGTGCAGCATCAGCCTCTGGAGCTGTGGGTCCGGGAGCTCGCAGGGGTGGGGATGACTGGAAAATTATGAGGGAACCGGCAGGGGAAGGGATGGGGAGGAACCAAGAGGAATCAGCAGAAAGGGACTGGTCATGGGTAAAACGGAGCTGCTCAGAGCACTTGTCTGACCCAGCCCTGTGTCTCATCCGCACAGACTGTGTGACCACATTAAATCCTTTCTTAACCCTCTTAAAAAAGCACAACCTCTCCGTATCCCATGGCTGTGAGTGCTGCAAGGACACATTGCCAGTTTCTGAGGGGACCGGTACCAGTGGATTTGGTAGTGGCCACTGCAGTCAGAGGGGGTGTGCAGACACCCCAGGTTGGGGTCTCAGCTGCTGGAGTCAGCGGGGTCTCCATGCAGCTGCTGGAGCACTCGGGGGTCCCGAGTGCAGCTTGGGAGGGTGCGTGCTTGTCCCCAGAACCAGCCACGGGGGGACCAGAGTGAGTGATGGGAGTGAGGAGCTCAGCACCAGCAGCTGGAGTGGAACCACAACCCATCTGGACAGGACCCTGGGGGTCAGGTGCCAAAAATCAAACTAATATTAAATTATGATTACGATTGCTATCACTGCCCTGGTCTGTCAGACAGCAACAGGCGGAGGGACACCAGGAAATGACCGTGTCATACCTGTGACCTGCACAACACGGTACTGAGGACAAACTGCCTTTTTTCCTCCTTGCCTTTTTCCTCCTTCCTAGGTCATGCAGTTGCAAAGATGAAGTTTCTTTGGTGTTTCTGTTGCTTCACGACGCGCTTCAAGGTGTTCCCCATCACAAGCCAGAGGCAGGCAGGACTCTGCACCACATTTGCAGTTCATTTCAGATCAGCTGCATCTTTCAGCAGCTTTGCCCATTTTGCTCCGCTTTCCACCCAAGGCAGTGGCTCAGTCCTAGGGCGTGACTGCCCTCAGCCCACATTAACCCCAGGATTACTGCTCTCAAGTGCTTTGCTTTCCCTCCCCCATTTATTTTGAGCTCAGGCAGCTGGTTGGATGCATTTAAATATCTGCAGTGCTGAGAGCATTTCCATGAATTGCTTTTCTCCCAAGTAACAGGTGAGAGGAAACGGCCTCCAGTTGTGCCAGGGAAGGGTTAGGTTGGATATGAGAAAAAATTTCTTCTCTGAAAGGGTTATCAGGGACTGGAAGGGGCTGCCCAGGGCAGTGGTGGAGTCACCATCCCTGGAGGGGTTTAAAAACCGTGTGGATGTGGCACTTCAGGACATGGTTTAGTGGGCATGGTGGGGTTGGGTTGATGGTTGGACTTGGTGGTCTGAGAGGGCTTTTCCAACCTTAGTGATTCGGTGATTCAATGAATTGGCGTGCATGTCACTGATAGCCATTTTATAGGAATTTAAAAATACCTAAACAGATTTCCTCACATCTTTAATCTGTTGGTTCCCCTGCCACCCGGATGCATGGACCACTTGTCTGTTCACAGTGGTCTCCCAGCAGAGCGGGTGGGTGCGTGAATTACTGGGCTGAAAATCCTTACCAAAAAGGTTCATCGCCTCTCCACAAGGACAGGGCTTTCGAGGGTTTTTCCCCCCTCTCAGCTATTGTCCTTCTCTATTTAAGACAAGAAACTGAGAAGCATATGTGATCCTGAAATATGAAGACTATCTCCTAGACTGAAACTGGTTTAGATTAAGATGGAAAAGCGTATTCTTCTCATTTGCTCTGTGCAAAATAATTGCAATTCCTCATTGCTATGGTTTCCGGAATTGGAGAGTAAATCTCAGATGTTGAAAACATGCATAGCTTAGCCAAATTTTTATTTTAATGCCATTCTAGCCGTGAGGCCTGGTCCCCACATCTCTATGGAGAACAGACAAGAGGTGTCCGAGTCGTGCACTGACACCCAGAGTCCCCAGCCTGCAGAGAGACCTCAGGGCATCAGCGCACACCAGGAACCAACCCCAAAATGCCAGGGTCTCTCTGAAGGGCAGAGCACCCTCCTGGTCATTGGAAATGCCCCAAAGGACCAGCACCACCGTCCTGCATGGTGAGAAGCACCTGCCTCGACCAGGAAAAGGAAATGGTTTTCCAAAATCCAGCCTCGTCACCCTGACGCAGGGAGGGAGAGGCTGGAGGAAAGGTGGGTTTCTCCACAGGTTGGTGCCCTGCATCCCCTTCGCTGGAATTCTGCATTTTGGGGAGTGAGGAAAGGTTTAATGGGTTCCTTTTTGCTGTGCACAAGAAAAAAAAATAAAAAAAATCAACTCTTTGGCAGATGAGTTGCATTATTGCAGCATTTTGGTGAGAAAGTCAACAATTTCCTGTAGGATTGCACCATGAAGACTCACAGGAGTTTAAATCCTGCTCTCTTGTGTTATAGGAGGTGTCTCTTCGAACAAATTCTGCTCAGACTTGGTGTATTCCTCTGAGCAGCTATGAATGAGAGCCATCCCCATTAAAATGTGCCGTCTTCTCTAACGGTGAGGTCTCTTCCTCTGGGTTTTCTGTTTCTTTTACGCTGTTCTGGCTGCTGCTGCTGCTTCTTCACCTCGTCCTGGGCAGATTGCTGTGTGGCAGCACAGTTACATTGCGAAGGACTGGGGTGAGCCCTCTGCCCAGGAACGTGTCCTCTCTCCTTGAAACACAAACAAGCCTGAGCCCTCTTCATTTGCCAGCTTGTCCAGGAAACACTGGTCTTGACTAAGGTCTTGCCCAAGGCTAAGGCCTTGTCCAGGGCCTTGGAAACATGTTCAAATGCTGTTTTTGCAGTGTCCTGAGCGGGACTTTTAATACACAGCTTAATTTCCACACCCCCCCCACCTTTCAAAAGTGGTGCTGCCGTTGCAGTGCAGCTCCAATGCCCACCCCAGGGCCAGGGCTCAGGGCAGGGCTGCGACTGCAGGCGCTGGGGCTCCTTGTCACGCCATGGAGAAGGGACCAAGCGGTGCCTGCGTCTCTGCCCCAAGGTGCCAGATCCAGCCCTGGGCAGATGTCCCACCCCACCCCATAGCAGTTCTGGCCCCAGATCAGATCCTGGCTTTTGCACACTGCAGCATCGGACACAGCACCCCGAGGCCTCGGACATGAGCAAGGCCTGGGAGACAGCAAAGGGCCCTGGAGCGAGGGGCCAGGCCAGCAGCAGGGCAGGGTCTGGTCAGAGACAGAGATCAACGGAGACCTTGACACCAGAGACATCATGGAGAGCACAGGGATTGCTCCCTGCAGCCCCACAGCCACCCTCCAGACAGGCCAACAGGACTCCCTCAGCCCAAACATCACCTCCGTGCTCGGCCTACACCAGGGACACTTCTGTGCACAGACAAGAAAAACCTGCCCATAAATGACAAAAAGCCCCAGGTTTTGTCCAGCTTTGGCTCAAATATGAAACCTTTTGCCAGCTCTCCTGGGGGTGGGTCAGGAAAGCTGCCCGCAGCGCCCTGGGAAGCCAGCACACAGGGGTCGCTATCAGAGAGACAGCCTGGGCTCTTCAGGCCCCACCATCCCCAGTAACAACACAACAGCCTGAAGTTTGTTTCACTTTTATTTACATGATTGCACAGCCCGTTTCCCCGTGACACTGGAACGTGGCGGGTCAGAGACACTGATTTCCCACACCCACGAGCCAAACACCTCCTCTGGGAAGGAGGAAAAGACTCAAGAGAGTCACTGCTGGGTTTTGTAGGGGCACATGCAACAACTCCAATTATTGGCAACTACGATGAAGACAACGAAGCTGAGAGCGAAGCCACGGCTGCGCAGCAGCACAGGGCCGGGCCCCAGCTGCCCCCAGCCAGGGACTTCTGGCTTTCACAGTTGCATATTTGGATTGACAGTGGGTTTCCTAACCGAAACACTGGCTCAAATTAGTCCTTTCCAGGGGAACGTGGTGTGGGACTGCACATCCCTCGTTACCTGCCAGGACCAGATGCGTCGCAAGACCAAGCTCCTGGGAGGCAGCCAGTGCTGGCAAGGTTAAATTAAATCCCCCAATTTTTCTTCACTGGGAATTGTCCTGGTGACACGGGGTTTGTTGGGGAGGGGGGGTGGAGGAAGGGGTACCCAGGACAAGGCGCAGAGCAGCGGTGCAGCGCTCACTGCCAAGGGAAGTGGGGTGCAGAGAGAGGCAGTGCCTGCATGGGAGCTGTGCCGGGACTGTGGCCACAGTGGGACTGAGGAGCCTCTGCACCGGTGGCCAAGTCAGCCCTGCATGACAGAGAAAAGGGAAGGTGTCCACGGGTACATGACAGAAGGGAAGAGAGAGGCAGATGGAAGGAGGGGAGCAGAGATGTCTGGCTGTGGCAGAAGACATTCACCCATGCTCAGAACAGAGACCAGCTCGGACCAGCCCAGAGAGCCTGGGCAAGGAGAGGGTGCAGGAAGATGTGCCGAGATACCACAGAGCTGCACGGGAACCCTGGGACAGCAGACAACGGAGAGCATGGACCAGACCCCAGGGCTGGAGCAATTCTGCTGGGACTCAGGGCCCTGGCCCCTGCTGCTCCTGCCACCAGTAACTGCAGCCTAGGCTCAGGGAACAGGGGACACGCAAGGAAAAGCATCCTGCTTTGCAGCTAGAGAGGAGGAATGGTATGTGGGGCTTTGAATTCAATTACCAGTCTTGATCTAGCAGGGTGCTGGACTGATCCACCTGGGTTCAGCAAAGGGATTGGAGGGCCAAGTGGGACACCACTCACTGCAAGGACATGGGCCCCTTGGAGAGGCCTCCCTCTGCTTTCTGCCCTCCCCATCGCAGGAGGGGCAGCCAAGGCTCACGCTGAGGGGCTGTGCCTCTCTGGAGCACACAGCAGGGCAGTGCCAACGCCGTCGTCCCTACAGCCCATCCATTCCCAGGGCTCAGGAAAGCACAGCACCGCAATGGGCATCGCCCGGCAGAGTGGGGTGGCAGCAGAGGGGCAAAGACTAACGCCAGGCTCAGGGAGAGCGTGGGCAGATTGGGCACTGCAGGACAGCGAAGATGTGCTGGGAACACAGGCGGATGGAGGAGGAAGGCCAGCCCCACAGGAGAAGCGTGCACTAGAGGACAAGTAAGGGGCAAGCGGCGCGTTCAGGGATGAACCAAACCACAGCAGCTCCTCTGGCGCTGCCGAGGAATGTGCAAATCGAGCGCACAGGGACAGCTGAGCCCCCTGTGTCCTGCCGAGAGGGCCTGTCCCGTACAGGGTGTGTGTAACAGCACTACCAGAGGTCCAGCCTCAAGACGGTGAAAGGACATCAGCAGAGACTCCTGCTCTCACCTTTGGGGTCAGGAAAGCTCCCGTACGAAACTTAAAAGCAAAAGGCAATGGTGGGTTTAGCAAGTACGAGCCATCACTGTCCACCCTCAGATCCTCCATCTACCTTTGCCAGACATACCAAGAGCCGAGCGCATCCGAGTCCTGGGGATGAGCCAGGATCTGCAAGGAAAGCATTTTGTGAGATCACGTCTGCACAGGAAAAGATTTTCTCATTTTGAAACTGATTTTGAAATTCTCAAAATTACAGTACTTTACAATACAAAATGTCTCCATTCAGTATCAGGTCATTTTACTCCTTCTGGGATTATAATAATTATTAAAAACACACAACTTTCTAGAAAGGACAGAAACACCACAAAAGAGACCAAGGAGTAATGGGAAAGACTGCCGCAGTATTATCAAAACCAATTTAGTGCAAAGGAGAAGGGGACTTTCAAGAACAGTTGATGAAAAGTGTTCTTTATATGCTCATTTGGCAAAAAGGCATAGATTTAACCTCTGAATGAGATCAGGCTGCCAGCTTCTATACTGAAGCTTAGAACATCAACACAAAAGGACTGAAACACAATATGCATGGCCATTAAAAAATAATATTATATATAGATATATATATATAGAGGGAGATATTTTCCACGTATGGTATTTAGTTATAGGAAAGTGTCCCTGCAGACAGGCATCTCTGCCGTCTGGCCCTCTGGGGCCGTTTCACCTGACAGACGTTGATTATCTGTCTGTTTGCCATCGAATAAAGCACACGCTGACCGCAAAGTCCCTTCGGGGGAATGATTGCTTTCAGTGCCTCCACAGTCGCTGTGTCCTGCACACGGGGGGACACCCGACCCCCTTGGCTCCTGCCAGCCCTGAAGGGCTGCTCGTGCCCAGCAGCCACGCGGCGCAGCGGCCCAGGGAGGGCTCAGACGGTGGTTTCATCCGCGGTCTTCTTCATCAGCTTGGCGGAGAGGAGGGAGTGGGGCATGGGGTGAGGGCTCCGCGAGCCCGGGATCATCAAGCGGACTTTCTGGTTGGTCCTTCGCCACTCCGAGTACAGCTGGCAGTGGTAGCGGGGCGACAATGTGTCAGGCTGGTTAACAAACCCTTTGAACAGGCACCGAGGAGATGCAGTCACCCATCCCGTGCCCCCTACACTCTCTGCACATCTCTTGTCAACCCACCAGCACCCCCAGTCCAGGGAGACAGCCCTGACGCTGAGATGCTTCGGGGCACTCCATGTCCCAGGCTTTTGACGAGGACTTAACTCCTGGTAGCACCAGGCTGAGCATGGCACAGCCAAAGGGACAGGACGAGGACAGAGCTGGCTCAGCTGGGTCTGGGCACTGGGCCGGTGAGGTGTGAACTGGCCCCTTCACTCCAGCCACAGGTTGACGTGGGCACCTTCTCTGGGCAAAACAAGGGGTCCTGGACCTCTAGACGGAGGACCAGCCTCTTCCATCTCACAGGTCCTGGTGGATCTCTGCCCTTTGCCTCCTCTCCTTGCTCTGCAACAACAGGACTCATTTCTTCTGACAACGCTGTGGCCTGGGAGACTCCTCCACCCGGAGGGGGCCAGGAAAGGACGTGAAGGCTGGAAGGGACCCCACCAGCCTGGCCCTGCAGTTTCAGAGCAGCCCTGCAAGGGGGAGCTTTGAGCTGCACTGTGCTCCTGGCTGTGCCCTTTCGCAATCACGACCAACACTACAGATTTTCTCACAGCTCCTGCTGATTCCTTAGCTCTGAAATTCAACTTTTCTAGAATTTCTTGAGGAGGGAATAAAACGAGCATGTATTTCCCTCTTATTTATTTTTCTAGAAATTGTGAGCAAGGAAATTAAATACTGAATCCTGTCAGCCTCTCATCAAAACCAAGCTTTCATACTTTTCAGAAGTACAGGAAACATTTAGCTGGCAAGTAGGAAGTACCAGGAAGTGTATCTGACAAGGAGAAGTCAGTATTCCTATTACTTTCGGATAGGTCTTGGACACCTGCTCTGAGAAATGGAGCTGTGCCACAGCATTGAGGTAATTCAGCTTATTCATCTGTGCACTCCCCTTTTTCCTGTTGTGGAGGGACAACTGTGGGAATAAGGTTGGTTGCTGATGAACAAGAAGCAAATGAATCTTGCAGTCTTCAAAGGCAGCGCATGAATGGGAAGCCAACAGTGCAAACCGCAAGGAAAGCTCCTGCTCCAGAGGACAGAGCTGCAGCCTTGGCCACGGCCTCTCTCGCAATCCTCACGGTGATTGCAGCCATCACCACCCACCCACGTAACAGCCCTCTGTGCTGCACAGCCCGTGGCTGCACAGAACTGCAGTTGAATTTGGTAAGTGTGAATAAAGGGGCTTCACTTAATGCCCTTCTCTGTTCAAGGAAATGGGAAGCACAGCAAAACTAGAGCTGTTTTAGTCAGGACTTGTTATTTCACCAAAAAATAATCCCATTTTCCAGTTTCCTCTAGATTTCCAGCTCCTCCAGATCAGTCCTGGGACAGAGAGGACAAAGGCATTTCCTCTTAAGGTTTCCAATTTTAGCTTTGCTTTCTGCAGAAATGAACCTCATGCAGCCCCATGTCAGAGCACACACACAGCAGCAGAGACTCGCCCCAGCAGCTCCCTGGGTGCTGCGGTTCCTGCACATTTTGACAGCAGCACTGGTCAGGCACCCCCTCGAGTGAGGGCTGCAGTACTGGCACCAGCTCACCCTTCCCTGGTACCTGGGTCCATGTGGGAGAGCTGCGAGGAACGTTCCAACCCCAGCAAAAGCCGTTTCTTGAGAGATCAGAGCATGCGATGGCAGGAAAATGGGCTGTGGCATTTCTACTGCCCACAAAACAAACAGCTTTTGGGGCACCCACTATTTCTCCTCCAGCAACTGTACTTCTTGCTTTCCCCAAATAGTGCTTCCCAGCAAGTGGCTGGAAAAGGGCACGGCCAGGGCACGAGCAGACACAGGGTTTTGAACAGGAGATCTGAAAGGAAGATCCAGACCCAGAAACCCGCTCAGCAACAGAATTGAACAGGAACCAGGGAAGTGCCTGGCCTGGGAGCCCCTTGAGAGAGCAGGGCCAGGGCAGCCCTGAGGGCTCGGGGAGGGGCAGGGAGCTGCCCCCCAGCCCAGCTTCTCCTCGGGGCTCCCAGCTGGGAGTGTTCACAGATGTGCTGCGTTACACACTCACATTTGCTTTCCTGAACTTACGGAGCTGCTCCAAGCTGCAAGCTCCTGGCTGCCTAATTCATCATGTCCAGAAAGATGCAAAGTGAGGCATCTGCAGGAAGCTCTTTCCAAGCACGGATCAGTTCAACACCAGACAGTGTCAGGTGCAGGCTCCCAGTGCCCCCAACCCCAGCAGCGCAGTTGGGAGCAGCAGCAGTGGGCAAGGCAGGCTGGTACCCAGCCTTGGCTAGGGCTCGCATCCCAAAACCCAGCATGAGAGAGAAGGCAGAGGTCTCCCCAGGGCCGGAGTGCTCCTCACACACACCCTTCTGTGCTACAGACATCTTAAAAATACTCTGTAGGAATTTGTTTAGCTGTAGGCCACAGAGAACTCAACAGCCAGTCTGCACCTCCTGCAGCACAACGTGTGGAGGGACAGGATGGCAGATTATTTAGGAGTCAAACACATTCCAGATTTTCTTTTTCTCCTAAACCATCCGGGTACCAACTCTGTGTTTCTTCTCAAAAGTAGGAAGAGGCACAGCAGCTGGACCACTGCCTGCCCCCAGCATCACACCTGCCCCAGCCTCAGCCACTCTGGCATGTCTGTGCCTGGGAGTGAGACACCCCGGGGACACAGCTCCCGTGTCAGTCTGGAAAGCAGATGATCAGGAAGTGGCTTCTCATTCTCAGCAATAACTTTAGCAGCTCCCACTTGAAGATAATTAAATGGACGTTCAAGAGAAAGAGCCCAAGGTTTTTCACGAGGGGAGTCAGAAACAGCTGGCTGCACTGATGCAGTGTGAGCCAGTTCTTCAATCTCCCTTTTGAACCGAAACAAGGCCCTGGGCAGCAGACACTTACCAGCGTCCAAAGGACGTAGATTGTAAAAAGTGCTATAGTTAGTGCTATGAGTCCAATGGCCTCCAGTCGGCTGTTGAACTGCAAATGATCCTGGGCTCCGCGCAGACACAGCCAGCCGGAGATCGCAGCCAGGGGAGTGATGAAGAGGAAACACACCATGTCGCAGAAAAGGGTCCTCTTCTCGTTGCGGGGACCAGGATCCTTCAGCCACTGCAGGAAGGAAGGGAGAAAGGGCATTACTCAGCAGCACGCAATGCACCGAGCAAGCAAGCAACGCAGGACTGCTCTGCTGGGAACTTCTCACATGCTCTATGCAGTCTGTACGTACCTGGTGCAGACACTTAACTCACATAAACCTTCACAAAAATAGAGCTAGAGAGCATCAGGTGTATTTTTAACAATCAATGAGGGAAAGGGAAGACACAACTGAAGAGTCTGTGTGGGGGAAGGCAGTAGTAAATACAGGAGCTGCCTGGGCTCTTCACTGGAGTAGTGAGGAGCAGGCTGCAGTACCAGACAAAGAGAGGTCGATTCAGCAAAGCCTGGCTTAGTAAAGACCTCACAGGTCTCGGATTGAGCTTCAGCAGAAACACATCCAGGACTGCGCCACTGCTGTAGGTGCTACAGGAAACCAGGCAGGGGGTCTGTAGCCAGGCCAAGCCATAGGGACAGCTGTCCCAAATCCAGCCCTCTGGTTCCTTTTGGAGAATCGTGGCATTTCAGAGTTTCACTCCTGATTTAAATCAAATCTGAATTGCCCAGGTCCACCCGAGAGACTGTGCAAGACAGCTCAGCAGAAGGAGTGCTCTAAGGGTACAGCACCATCCTCAGGGCTCGAGCGAGCCTCGCAGAGCTGCTCACCGGGAGCCTGGCAGCCACCCAGGGCCAGCAGTGGGGAATGCAAACACCCACACACCCCCTGTTTCCACCAAGATGATGACAGAGAGGAGAAGAGCACAATGCTTGAGCAAATAGGAAACCAAGACTGGAGAAACAAAAATAGAAAAGCAAAAAGAGAGTGAGTAACTGGCAGAAAGCTTTGCACCTGAGCAGACAAAGCAGGGCAGCAGCCAAGGGGGAACGGTGTTGGGCAGTCCCAGCAGAGGAAGGTAACACAAACACTTTTCCTTTCACAGAACAACCTGTGCCCAAATCTGCATCTTTCTCCCAGAGAAAGCCTTTGCCCATTTCCACAGGCAAAGCAGCAGACCTGTCTGGTGAGGAGGGACACAGAGCTCGGCTGGCCAGGGGAACATCCCCCTGTGCCTTCTGCCAGATGTCCACGAAGTGACCACGAAGTGACGAGGCACGACGACACGGACACAGCTGTTAAATCCCACCTTCACGACTGCAACATCCCAAAGACTTCTCCATTGCTGTGGCCATCTGCCAGCCACCACCTCACAGGCAGAGGAGCTGATTCTGCTCATTTTCAGGCTTGCGTTCTTGCACCCCAGCAGTACGTGATGCATCACAGCAGAGGTGACCACAGGGCTTTGTTACCACGAGGTTTTGCGAGCGCTGCTCCCTCGCAGCTGTCAGGACCCAAGGGGCTGCAGAGCGAAGGCAGCTCTGCTCCAGGCGGGATTCCCTCCACAGGGCACCTCTAAACATTCACCACTTTGAGGAGTCCCAACTTGCTTCCAGTGTGGGTTCATTTTAGATACCTTGACAACAGCAATTGTTCTAGTTTTCCTGGGATTATGCTATTTTCAGCCTTTCCTTTCCTTTTTTAGAATAGCACGCAGCTGTGGTTCCTACCAATACCCAGAGTTGTTACAGCACATTTTTACTGGGAACTCTGTATGCTGGGCTGCTGGATCATTCCTTGTTTCCTGCACCAGGACAACTGGTTTCATTTAGGATTTTTTTTCTCCAAAAATAATAACTGGAGAACACAATAGAAAAGACACGGTCGGAGCAGGGAAGGGAATATCCCCAAGGTAGCCAGGGCCAGGCAGGCTGGGCAGAAAGCAATGGTGCAGAGGGGAGCGTGGAAGGGTGCACACCAGTTAGTGCAGGTTTAACCACGGGGGGAGTCTGGCGTGAGGGGAGTACAGTGAGACACGGCAGAGGGGTGAGGACAGGGTGGGAGGTGCAGACAGCTTTTGTTGAAAGGGGAAAGAGAAGGAGGAGATGGCACATCGAGGCGGGGAGCAGTGACGTGGCTGGGGTCGTCAGAGCCATGGTGGCAGCTGCTGTGACGGACACCGAGCTGGCCATGAAAGGAGGCGAGGATGCTGCAGCAACAGATAAGAGCCTGGCCAGGAATTTCAGCTGGGAGGACCGATAAGCAAGATATTTGAGAGCTGTGACCTGAAGCACGTGAGACCCAAACAGAGCGAGGCCAAGTGCAGCTAGTGAGCAAGCTGGGAGCTGAGGAGAGCAGATCTGGGGACAGAGTAATGCTCCTGCAATAACAGAGGACGAGTTAGAAGCATTTTTAAAGCCTTTCCGAGCACAAGTTGATGGTGAGACAGCCAGGAGGAAATTTCAGAGCAGCCAGAACTGTGGCTTGGCCAGAAGGAGCTGGGAGAAGGGAGCCAGGCCCTGCAAGTCACCCCCTGTGTGGCCCTGCAGAGGAGATTAGTGCTGATGAGCTGCGTGGGGAAGATAAGGACCACACACGCAGTCCTGAGTGGCCCTCAGAGGAAATGAGGGTGGACAGCAACTCATCTACACAGCAGAGCTGCTCCTACAAACAGCCCCATCGTCCGAACCCCCGACCAGCACCGCACTGCCCCTGCACAGCCCTCAGGTGAACACCAAATTACCCCACCTGGACCAGCATCCCTTTCGCAGCGCCCCCAGAGCACCCCATCCCCTGTGAGAGGACTTCTTGGGCCACTCCTGACCCTTGCACAGTCAGAATCTCAGGGACTGAAGGCAGATAGGCATTTTACTGAATCTTACTCTATTTATATTCCTTGTGACCTTCAAAACTCCTTCTTCCTCCCTAAGATGGGAGCCAAAATGTAAAGGGAGGAAGCAAATTAATTTCCTTTTGAAGTAGTTGATTTACTTTGCCAATATGTACTGACACAGTAAAAAAAGAATACAATAATCCACCCTAAGGGCACAAGGTCTCTGGCACGGCAGCACATCAGTGCATACGGGATTTAAAATAACCCTTGCAAACAATCCAAAAAATGGTCAGTCAGATTAAACAATT